GCTGTGGGTACTTGAGGCCATCTCGGGTGGAGCCTCTATGCTGCTGCCTCTTCTGGAATCTGGCATGGCTTCAGTGGGATTTCTCAACTGTGTGTACATCTTGTTACTCTTCCAAGGTCAAAGTCGCAGGTTCAAGGAACTAATCAAGGGAGCGTGGTCATTCATTGTCAAAGCCTGCTGGGCTGGGAGCAGGAAGAGGAAGAATCTGTCTCCTTCACTCCTGAAGGAGGCAGACACCAGACTGTTACCATGAAGAATCAGTCACATTAGACATGAGTTTGGATGGTTGTAGACAAAACAACACCAAAAACCCAGCAAAAAGAAAACAAATTGAGACCAATACAAATGGAATAATCCACTTTCCCAGAATTGTCTTAGTTGTGGGGAAAGTAGTAAACTCAAAAGTTTACTACTTTTTACAGTTAATCTGTATGTCATTTATGTTATTACTTATATAATAAGCACACCCATATAGCACATAGTATGTGCTAGTCACTCTTCTAAATGCTACATGAATTTTAACTTGTCTGATCTTCACATCAATGCATTGCCATCATCATCTTTATCTTATGGATGTGCAAACTTAAGCCAAAAGAAGTTAAGTAACTTGGCCAAAATCACATAGCTAGTAAGTGGTAGAAGAAAGATTTGAAGCCAAGCAGCCTGGGGCTCCAGGGCCAATATTCTAACCAGTACACTACCTTGCTTCTGGCTATAGCAGTTTTTATTTATAGTTATACTTAAGAAAAATGTTCAAAACCAAATAATCTGAATAAAAGATGGGCAAAAGTTCTGAATAGACATTTCTCAAAAGAAAACACACAAATGACCAACAGGTATATGAAAAAATGCCCAACATCACCAATCATCAGAAAAATGTAAATTAAAACTACAAAGAGGTATCATTTCGCCCCAGTTAAAATGCGTTTTATCCAAAAGACGGGCAATATAACACATGCTTGTGAAGATGTGGAGAAAGAGGAACCCTCGTACAGTGTTGGTGAGAACGGAAATTAGTACAGTCACAATGGAGAACAGTGTGGAGGTTCCTCAAAAAAATTAAAGTAGAACTGTGATTCAGCAATCCCACTCCTGGGTATATATCCAAAAGAAAGGAAATTTGTTTATCAAAGAGTTATCTGCATTCCCGTGTTTATTGCAGTACTATTCACAATAGCTATGATATGAAATCAACCTAAATGTTCATCCTAAATGGCTAAAGAAAATGTGGTACATATATACAGTGGACTATATTCAGCCTTAGAAAGAACGAAATCCTATTATTTGCAACAACATGGATGGAACTGGAGGACATTATGTTAAGTGAGATAAGTCAGGCACAGAAAGATAAATATTGCATGTTCTCACTAATATGTGGGAGCTAAAAAAGAACTGAACTCCTGGGGACAAGAGAGTAGAATGATGGTTACCGGAGGCTGGGGAAGGTAGTGTGGGGGGAGGGGATGGTTAATGGGTACAAAAATACAGTTAGATAGGAGGAATAAGATCTAGTGTTTGGCAGCACAATAGGGTGACTATAGTTAACAATAACTTATTGTATATTTCAAAATAGCTGAAAGAGTGGAATTGGAATATTTTTAACACAAAGAAATGATAAATGCTTGAGATGATGGGTACTGCGATTACCCTGATTTGATCATTACACACTGTATGTTTCTATAAAATACCACATGTACCCCATGAATATGTACAAGTATTGTGTATCCATAATAACTAAAAATAAAAAATTTAAAAGAAGAAAATGTCCTGTAAGCAATATACACTTCATTCCATTAGGTGGAGTCTATCATCTGAACTATTACTTTCATTGTGTTTATATAAAGTCCTGAGTTAACTGAACCCCTTCATATATTTCAGAGAGACGTCTCTAAACAGGGCAATGTAATTATTTAATAACAGTTGCAATCAAGAAACTTATGTCCAGATTTAAAAGACCAGATAAATAGCAGATGCTATAGGATGGATCATGAAAACTGCTTTACACCCCTTTTAAGTCTTAGGGGACTCTTATTTTATGGAATGTTTCCAGTTCCTTTTGTAAATAATCCTTTCTTCTTATCCCCTTATGTAATCATTTAGTGATTTTTTTTTTAAGTTCAATTCAACTAACATACATTGAGTGCTTACCACGGTTTGGACACTGTGCTTAGAAAGTACAAAGAGGAATAAAACTTGGTCTCTGCCCTTGAATTTTTGACAGCCTGATTCCGATTTCTAAAAGTAAAGGCTTTTCCTCAAGTAAGCCAACAGACGGCTATTAGACTTTTTCATTAAGAGATAAGACCTCTCATCTTTCTCAAGAGACCATTTGATTTTGATCACATTTTTTATTTTAGAAAAAGGAGAGATTTGCTGTGGTAGAGGGGTATTTGTGATACTCACAAACATTTGTGACTTAAGAGAAAAATTGACATTACTTTTTAAACTCATTTGAAATTTGAGAACTGGGTACCCTCTTTTTCTCTTATCATCCTGTTTATCTCACTCACCCAAAACCACAGATTCAAGGGACTCCTAGCACATGATCACTTGTCTGATAACTACCATTTCCCTTTCTCTCACATTTTGAGCAAATCTGAGTGCTGTGCCCACCACTGTAATGATGTCTTTCTCAGCTTGTATTCATTGTCTTTTTAATAGACTCTTTCTTGCCTAATGGTCTCCTGAGTGTAGATTAGAAATTAGAAACAACAAATGTTTTCTCTGGTAAGCAATTACTTTGGTATCTGAAATAACAGGAACTACTACTGGGACTTCCAAGGGGTGAGGCTACCTTTTCTGTTTAAGAGTCTATGTTTCCTCTTCTGCAGATTTCACACATTGCACAGTTATTTGTGGTGTGCCTTTCAAGTACAAGGTGCAATGATGTACTACAGGATGACGTATGTTGAGTGTTGGTTTCAACTTCCTAATTTCATGTGTATGGTATTTTCTTGTTATCACCTTGGTACTTGGTACTTCCCGTCTGAGTCACAATATTATGCGATCCTTATGTGCTATTTTAGGGCTGGTGAGAAGCTTGACATTCACTTGATGGATCATCCATAGCTCGCATCCACAGGTGCTCTAGCTCATGCTTAAAATATTGTTAGAACAAATGGAACAGAGTAAGTTCTGCGAAGGAAAATCCAGAGAATTGGAGAGTTACTGACTTGTACCATAGAACGGTGGTGGTGTGAAGGCAGAGAGCTCAGATATGTGCTGTACTGCGAAAAGAAGAAACTGAAGAAACTAAGTGGCCCGTACATATGTGACTATGTAACTTATCCAAAACAGTACACTTTTGGGGGTGAAAGGAACACTATTAATAATTATGTTAGGACATAAGCGAAGACTGTTCTTGGTAAACCCAGATAGACCTAGAATAAGTGAAAAAGAGAGAAAAAAACATAGCTACTATCCATTAAGAACCTAGGGGATAAAAGAGAGCCTTATGTGGGTGTTTATGGGATTGTCGAGACAGAGATTTGACCTCTAACTATAATCGTGGTCTTGAAACCTAGATTTAGGTTTGTGGTTAAGGGGCAGAATAATCAGATTCCAAATAGGATTCTGTAGACAATCTCCTTGCATCCTGAAGCCTCTGGGTCTTCTTGCCATTTTGGTGTCTCACCAGCTTATGTGGGCACTGATAACTAATCCCATACTTCTGCTAAGGGAAATTTAGGGATCAGAAAATCTTTCCATGCAGCTTCAATTTGCTCCAAATCACAAGGAAATCAGATATCTCAGGCCAGTGCTGGATGTGGCAGAAATTCCAGGGCAGTTCACAACTTTCCTACCAATTTGGGGTTAGCCTGGAATCATCTCAAATAACAGTGGAGAATAGTTTATGAGGCTGTATGGGAGGCAAGATTCCACCTTCATCCCCTCAGGGGCCTGGGTGGGCCAGAGGATTACATTGATTTAAGATAGATGAACAGCAGAGAAGCATACTCGTTTAAATTTCATGTGGTACAGGAGCCCTCATAAGGACATGAAGATCCAAAGCAGCAGTTGGAGTCAATGGCTTATATACTGACCTGGACAAAAAACGGGGGGTGGGGGGGAACAAATTGTGAAATGTGGTAATGCAGGTAAGGCAAAGGGGCTTGGGCTAGTTAATTGGGTACAGAAGTGACTAGGATGATAAGGGTTTTTAACAAGGTTTGTTTGCACAGATTGCCCTCAGCTTCAACTTTCCCTCCTTGATGATAAGAATGTTATTTTACAGGGAGGACATCCTTCCCATGGTAATTTTATCTCCTGCACTGAAGAAACAGAATGACGATCAGAGTGATCTTGCACCTGCTTTTTTAAAAGTGCCTTTAATTCAAAATGGTCAATATGCCAAAGGAGCATATTTTGAGGTGGCATAATCTTAACTCCTTTGAAGGCTAAAAGCCTTGGATAGAACTGGGTAGTTACCAGAATGGAGAACATTTTCAGCTATCGTTTGCCGAGTGTGTAATGTATTCAACTAGGATTTACTGAGTGCTTACTTTTGTCTCGTTTAAGCATACATCTCCTACACTACTGCTCTCCCCGCCTCATCGTACACAAGAGAAAATTCTGGCTCCGAAAGCTAAGTGATTTAAACAAGGTAACAGCTGAACTGGGACTTGGTCAGGGGCTCCACGCCGGGTCCTCGCGCGAGGTAGATGCGCCCTAAGATGCTGGGGAAGGTCCATGGTAGAGTAACTCCCTGCCCTCTTCCCTTGGCAGGCCTTGGGCATCCAACTTCCCTGGGTTAAAGTGCTTCCAGCAGGTGAGGGAGGCCGGAAAAGAAGACACAGAGTGAGTACATGTGAAAGCCTAAAGGTGATTACAAACACGAGAGAAACGAGAAAAGTCTCGCTCCGATTTCTACGGTGGCTGCGGCGGGGTCCCACGGCCCGCACTAAAAATGGCGGCTCCGGCGTCAGCGGCCTCATGCCCGTCTCCATCATGGCGGCGGCCGGACCCGCCTCCCTGGGCGCAGGAGTCATGTGACCCACACAATGGCTGAGCGCCTAGCCGAGGCTTCCCGGCAACGCCGAGTGAAAGTCATGACGGCCGCTGCGGGTTCGGCGGGCCGCGTCGCAGTGCCCCTGCTGCTGTGCACGCTCCTGGCGCCCAGCCGCACGTACGTGCTCGACGACTCCGACGGGCTGGGCCGGGAGTTCGACGGCATCGGCGCGGTCAGCGGAGGCGGGGTAAGCGGCGGGCGACGGGGACTGGCGGCACCGGCGGGCGGGGGGCGCAGGGGGCCAACCCCATCCGGTCCCGCCCCAGAAGCCCCTGCGGCATTGCCAGGTGTTTCGACGCGCTGCCGTTGCGGTCCCGCTTCCCGCTCTCCGCGGGCGCTGAGACCGACGCTTCGTCGTTTAACATGAACCTAGAGAGGCAGTTAGGTTTTAACAAGTGAGGGTCAGGAAGTCCAGCGAGTAAGTGACAGGCTTAGGTAGTGACGAGGCCGAAGCTCAAACCCTCATTCCTGGAGATGGGGCCTGGGCTCTCTTGGTCGTGGAGACAGCACCCCGCGAGGGTCGCTCTAGAAAAGGTTAGGGAACCCAGGAATCCCTGTGTGAGAAAGAGGATGCCCCAATGGGATGCTTCGGCTGTGTCACTTCCATTCCGGGGAGTTGGTGGGTGGCAGAGTTGGAAGCCCCGGGGCCACTAGCGCAGGTGGTCCGGCTCTTCAAGAGTTAGTGCCATACAGGGTCTTATAAGTGTAGGCACAACGGTGCCTCAGGGATAGGAGTTAGGAAGATAACTATCTGGGACTCTATTATTTTTATGATTTTTATATTTTTTTAAATGGGAGGCTCCACTATTAATCACTGATAGTCTGGGATTGTTTACTGTTAGGGGCTGGAGGGCTAAGAAATGAGAAGGTGAATTACTCCCCAGAAGGGCCTGTGCCTCTGCCTTATTGGCAGCTATTTCTTTGTGCCAAGAGATGGGAAATGTTGGCTCTTCACGGTTAGGATTGTGTAAAGATCACCAGTGTGCTTTTTAAAAGGCAGGTTCTGTCTTCCCTCCCCCATGCTGACTTTGTAGTTCTGGAGTGGGGACTGAGAATCCTCTTTTTAACAAATACACCAATTAATTCTCATACTAGGTATTGAGAGATCTTTTTCCTGATTCAAGGATCTCAGGGGTGGGGGATGAGGTTTTTTTTTTTTTTGTAATTTCAATTTTTGAATAGTTTTAGATTTACAGAAAAGTCATGAAGGCAATAGAGAGTTCTCATATACCATGCAGCCAGTTTCTGGTATTCCCAGCATCCCACATTGGAATGGTACATTTGCCGCAACCAATATTGATACACTATTATTAACTAAAGTTTATACTTCATTTACGTTTCCCTGGTTTTTACCCAATGCCCTTTTTCTATTCTGGGATTCCAACCAGGGTACCACATTACATTTAATTGGCATGTATTCTTAGGCTTTTCTTGGCTATGGCAGTTGGGATGTGTTCTTTTTATGTGGGCATTTCATAGGATTTACTTGAAACATGAGTAAAATTGTGCAAAATTGAGAATGGGCATGGCTGGTCATTGCCCTTAGCTCCCTAGTCATGCCTAAAATTGGCTTCCAGGCCCCAGCATGTTCTTCGGTAGCATGATTGTTCTTGGCTCCTGACGATATTTACTTGCCTTAGTTCTACATTCTTTGTAACCATTGTCTCTGTTTTACTCCCTTCTGTTACCTTTGGGCCCATGGGCTTTATAGTGGCAGACTTTGGGTGAGTGGGTTTTTATTTTTTGTTTTGTACCCCAGATCCCATCTAGAACTAATTTTATTTGAAAATGTTAAGGTTGAGCTCTTGGCTTTTTAAGATTGAGTCAGATAGAGCTTTGTACTTAGATTCAACTCCGAAAAAGCTTGAATGCTTGCCTGCTGCATGGGTGACCTGGCCTGTAGTCTGATCATATGATGTGGAGGAAAAGTATTTCAGGGAGAACCTGTGGGCTAATAAGCTAATACATTTGTTCTTTCCTACTACTATTCTTTTACAACTTTTTGGTTTAAACCTGAAATAACCAATATTTCATTAAGTGGGGCCCCATCTCTTCTTCTGATACCTTGTGATATTAAATCTAGTGTATAAACTTACTGAAAAATGGAACTCTTTGGTTCCATTTTGTTTATTTAGCTCAATTCGAAATTATTAAAATGATAAGAATCATTTCATAACTCAAGGTAGGAAACTCCTATCTAATTTTATAGAAAATCCGACAATTATTAATGTCCCTATGTATAGTGCATTACTCATTGTAGGAACTCAATAAATAATGGAAATGATTGCACCACCACATTTTCACACCACAGTAAGCTTCCCTGGTACCTAGCAGTAAGTGTTTAGGATGTTCTAATTTAATCTTCATGTCAGCTAGGGAAGGCAGTGTGGTTCAGTCAGTAGTTAAGAATGTGGATTCAAGAGAATCCCAAGGATCCATTCTGGGCCCTGCGACTTACTGTATGGCCTTGGCAAGTTGCTTAACTTCTCTCTGCCTGAATTTCTTTTTTGAGGATGCAGTGATCCCTGCCTAGTAGGAGCATTGTGAGGAGAGATATAGAGTATTTAGGATGTCTGGCACATGACTTACTTTGGTTAATAACCAGTTTCAGGGATTAGAGAAGAGGAAGTTATTTCAAGGACTTCGAAGAGATGTTTTTCCCAAGACATCTTCCTGGGTTTGTAAACAGCTCCAGGATTTATTCAGGTGTGGTTAGTAATCCCATAATTTGTTATTACTTGATGGTACATTTCAGCATTTGGTTATATTACCTTTGACTTATGCTTCTGCATTAGGTGTGATTGTAGGTTTGTAATAGCATAATAGTGTAGTGTGTTTACCTAAAGCTAGTACTTTCTGAATTAAATGTGGGAGTGCATAGAGGGCAAAATAACCGCCAAAGAGCAAAAAATACAGTTCTAACAGTGTAATGCAAGGTAAGAAGCATGCTTTACCTGGGGAGAGACCCTAGGTCAAGGATATGTTAGTGTGCATATACAGTGTTCATTCACTTAGTGCCATTTTAGTATTTGAACCTCTGCTGGGCTTTAAGCTCTTTGAGAACAATGTCTTTTAAGACAAATTTGTATATACAATGCCTGCCATTTATTTATTTATTTATTTTTGAGACAGAGTCTCACTGTGTTGCCCGGACTAGAGTGCCGTGGTGTCAGCCTAGCTCACAGCAACCTCAAACTCCTGGGCTCAAGCGATCCTCCTGCCTCAGCCTCCCGAGTAGCTGGGACTACAGACATGCGCCACCGTGCCCGGCTATTTTTTTCTATATATTTTTAGTTGTCCGATTAATTTCTTTTTATTTTTAGTAGAGACGGGGTCTCGCTCTTGCTCAGGCTGGTTTCGAACTCCTGAGCTCGAACAAATCCGCCCGCCTCGGCCTCCCAGAGAGCTAGGATTACAGGCATGAGCCACCACGCCCGGCCGCCTGCCATTTATTGAGAGGCCATTTATGTGCCAGATACTGTACTAAGTCCTTTAAGGTACATCTTATTTTAGTCTTACAGCACCTGAATGAGTAGGTCAACTCACTTTACAATAATTTGCCTATCATCACATAGCTTATAAATGATGAAATCAAGATACATGTTCCATTTGACTCAAAGCTTCCTATGTTATGTTTCCTGTACCAGTGCAACAACAAAAAAAGGAAAATAATAAAAAAAAGTTAAGTGTTTATTGAATAACAAAGAATGGGGATATGAACTTGAATAAGACACAGTCTATGTCCTGAAGGAACTTAGAGGCGAGTCAAAAAAGTAAAGCAGTGGTTAGGGTGCAGGGTTAGAAATGTTAGGGCAGAGATATGGACCAGGTGCCAAGCGAGCTCAAAGGAGAGGCACTTACATCAAATCAGTGGGGAGGGGCAGAAGGCATCCTTCTTTGAAGAGGTGGAGTTTTAGCTGAAAGCTGACGAATGAAATGGAGTCGTCCAAGTGAGGATGTGGGGTGCATTCCAGGCAGAAGGAAGAGAAAAAGTGGTTGGATATATCTAGATAGAAGGTGTGACAGTGATAGGGGTAAAGTGTCAGAGTTAGGATCCAAATAATTAAGGGATTTGGGTGCAAAACTGAGTAATTTGAACTTTATCCTAGGGATAAAGCTACTGGGGATTTAGCAGGTTTAATCACAGTAGTTTCTTGATTACATTTGTGTTTTGGAATGATTAATCTGATAAGTAGTGTGGGGGATAAAACACAGGGAGGTAGAGGGGAGCCCCTAAGACCATTTCACTTTTCTAATAAGTGAGGAGGACCTAGGTAGGTCAGTGGGGTTGAAGAGTAGGGGATGGATTTGAGAGATATTGATGACGTCTCGATGACTGAGGATGGATGGGAAGTTTGGTGAAAGGGTGACCCTAAGGTTACGGTTTAGGCAGATGTCATTCATTACTAAGATAGCAAATGCAGGAGAAGGAGCAGATTTAGGCAAAAGTGCTGTTTGGTTGGGGGTGTGTCAAAGTACATGGGATGAGTGGCTAGAGAGCAGCTCCATGGGTCTGTATCTCACTGGCAGGGACTAGGGGTGTTCTGGGTATGAGAGAATTGATCTAGGTACCACCAGAATGTCAGTGGTACCATATATGAGAGTATAAAATAGAAAGTTGAACCGTATCAAAGTCAAGTATCTTGCCTCTGTTTTACACGCACCTGGCAAGGTGTAGCAGTTTGAACCTAGTGATGTATGGCTTCCAAGCCTAGGAACATGCTACTGTTTCATGCTGAAAACCTGCTTCTTTTATTCCCTCCCAAAGGATAGATTATGAGTCAACTATTGGCTTTGTGATTTCTTTCTTCAAGCAGTTATTGGCCATGGTCTAGGTATGATCAAGTATTGGTCCCTGCACTGTCCACCTGCATCCTTCCATACATTCTGATGCCAGTCTAGTGTGAGGTTTCCTTAGTACAGCCCGGTCTGGAGATTATTGTTGGCCATTCTTAATCATAAAAGAATTTATGAGAATGAGGAGTGTACTGCTTCCTTTCAGCATTGCTGCTTATAGTATTTTTATGAAAGATGTTGAGGGGAAAATTACCTAAGATTCATTCCTTACATCCTAGCCCCAAGATATTGTTGTTGCCAAATTGTCTTAATATAGAAAACCTAAGTTTCTAGATAAGTTTTTAATCATGAGATTCAGCAGTAGCCTTAGCAAGCTTACCTCCCAGCCAAGCCTCATCCCAGCAGGAGAGCTGTTGGACAAACAACAGCCTTAGTTGTCCAATGATTGGCAAAGCAAGGGCAGGAAAACAATCTGGGAAGTGACTTTCCACAGCTTGACCTTGCAGGAGAACTGGCCAAATGTGGGTATTCCAGGTGGTGTGCATGAACACTATAGATAAGTATTCACGATTGGATTTCTTTTATTACTTTTCTTTTAGGCAACCTCCCGACTTCTAGTAAATTATCCAGAACCATATCGTTCTCAAATATTGGATTATCTTTTTAAGGTAATGAAAAAATAATTATTTAAGGGTAACTGTGATATTTTAGAACTTGTACAGTAAATTTATCAGCTTCCCAATTCTAGCTTTTGAAAAAAATGGCAAGTTACTTTTGGAATAAGTTGCTCTTTGAAGTTTTGCTTTTGTTTTTGAATCTATAAAACCAAAGGCAGTAATTAGGAATTGTCTTGAAGCTTCATTAGAGGAAGCACTGTGTTAATACTGTTACTTCTTTCCACAGCCATACTTCGGTGCCTCATTGCATATTCTAAAAGTTGAAATAGGCGGTGATGGGCAGACCACAGGTAGGAGAATTTGGGATACAGGATTTTTCCCCCCAACGTTTTAATCTATACCTAACCATATGGACTATGATTTCAGAGTATGTATAAATGATACCAACACTTTTTAAGATTTATTTTTGCTTAGTAGATTGTTTCTTATTGTTCCTTTTTAAATTGTGGTTATTTAAAAAGTTATATAGAAATATGGATTTTCCATCAAAAATAGTATTCAGACTTTAAATTGCTTATATAGTTGAAGTAATCAGCAGTAAACGAATCCACAGATTTCTAAAAACTTCATGTACTGGACAGATCATAGGGACAGTTTGGAATTTTACTGAGAAGTTAAAAAGGAAAGATTTTATAATAATTTTGTATAGAACATTTAAGGTGTTATTAACTTTAAAATATGTGGTAAAATATAAGTAATCAGTATTTCAGATATGTAGCTTCTTTTTTCTTTTAAAGACAAAACAAATTTTAATCACTAAATCTTTAATTTTTATTGTCACTATTTTGATTGGCTTTGTGTAGTGCATGTTATCAATTAGTTTATAGGCCTCTGGTTTCCAGGAAGAAGAAAAAGTATTTTAGTTCTCTCAATGATTAGATATGGCTTAATATTTACAGGTCAAATTTGATTATAATGAACTCTAGAATATTTTCTCTATACTTGTGTTCCTGCTAGTGATTTGGAAGTAATTTTCGTTAAACAGATACATCTATGTTGTGGAATTAGTGTTTATGTTGAAAGAAAAAGTGCAAATCAAAAACAAAAGAAAACCCCCATAACAGAAACTTCCTCTAAGCTATTGGAAGAGGACATGTATTTTATTACCAAAACCATTTAGGCAGAATTGATAATGACTGGTTGCTGAAGCTACATTAGAGGTAGAGATACATAAGTAGGCAGTTCTTGTGAATTCTCATGTTTGCCTTTAAGAAGAAATGGGCAAGGGCCCCTCTTCTTGGAAGGCCTTACTTAGCAAGGGCAGATGTTTGTGACCTGTGGGAACTCATGAGGACTTTGATGTCAGTTACCTACCTTGAAGCTATGATGATATCTCAACTAACTAAGGTGTTAATGTGGAATTTTGTTATTGTTACAGTGGGGATGTAATACTCATTTCTTTTTTCTTGACTCATGCTATATCAAGACATATTATAGGCTTAAAGAGTGGGGTATTTCTCTTAATTGTGCTTATAATTCTGGTTTTATTATGTAAGATGTTTACAGTGCTTAAGATAATGAAAAAGGATGAAATAATACACTTTGATCATCCATCCTCAAGTTGTATAAGATTATTCTTATTTGCCCAACTTCAGGATTGGAACTAGAATACCACTTTTGTGAATTGTGTGTGTGTGTGTGTGTGTGTGTGTGTGTGTTTGTGTGTGTATATGTAGGGGAGAGTGGTCCTAGGAAGTACCACTCGTGGATCATTTACTTCCTTTTTTCTTCTCTCCTATTCAGATGGCACTGAACCCTCCCACATGCACTATGCGCTAGATGAGAATTACTTTCGAGGATATGAGTGGTGGTTAATGAAGGAAGCTAAGAAGAGAAACCCTAATATTACACTCATTGGTAAGAAGTGAAGTTTGCAATGTTTCTGCAGTCTCTTTTCCTTTAACTTTTAAATTCTGAATCATGTTGGTGGGTCTCTATTAATAGTGAAGTACTAATAATGTTGCTAATACTACCAGTATGCTACCAGCAGCAAAGCATATGCCAAGCATGATCTTTTCTTTGCCCTTGTATATTATGTTAGATCTTTATAATACCTCTGTAATATTATAGTAAGGCATTACTATTTTTATTATACAGAAGAAGCAGTTGAGGCTTAGAATATGCCACTGACGTAAGGTCACAGACAGTTAGTAAATGGCAAAATCAGTTTTAGAACTTAATTTCATTGTTTTTTTCTGTGATGCTAACTACTTTCCTTGACAAAATCACTCCTCAAAATTTGTAAAAGGGCAGTACTATTTACAAAATTGCATGTTACATAGAGTAGCCACCTAACTATTTACAAAATTGTATATTACTGGTAGTGGTAGACCCCATTTTTAGAAGAGGTACATGAAAAAGTATTTGTTTTTGAACCTCAGAGATGTGCTGGTCACTGTTCCAAGGACTAGGGATACAGAACAACCCAGACCCCAGTTTCTGCCCTTGTGTGGCTTAGGTTCTAGTGGCAGGATCATTGGATACTTTTTCAAATGGGACTATATTCATTCCATAGTTCTGTGGCAATGCATACAGAACCTGTGAAGTATTTCAGACTTCCAGGGTGGTGGGATACTTTCATCATTTGAAATGAATTTGATTTTTTGAAACAGGCTGACATTCAGACTAAGTTAAGTGAAATTAATGATCCATTTTAAAGGCTTGATTTTAAGCTGTTTTAAAAATAATTTTCTTAATCAAATTAAAGGATAAAAGTAATATTTTCTAAATTAAAAAGAAAATAGGAATGAGTGTGTTCTTTCTAAAAGGACTTTTGTAAGTGATTCCAGAAATGTTTTGAGCAGTGAAAGCATCACTGAATCAGCACATAAACTTATTCATTGGGCTGCTTCCAACATCAGATCT